AAAATGGCTACCCATGGTGAACAGTGTTTGGTGGAGCTCCCAGTTTAAGACAAGTTTGGATGCAGAAGTGGCATCCACTTCCTAAACAACATGTCTCTGGGAACTTTGATAAATCTCAGTAGTTATAGAAAGGTTTCAGGCCTTTTGTTCATAAGGTCACTATGAGTCGTGCTCAACTGTACCTCTATCATATAACACTCAAAATTAGTACACTTAGATTTTCACTCAAGTGACTTTTAATTTCAGAAATGCCCTTTCTTGGTTGTACATCAGAACATACCACCTCTAAACTGTTACCTAGTGATAAGGGGTTGCACTGACGATGAGAAGGCACAGACATAATCTGAATCCATCAACAACTCTGAGGGAGAAAGATGGGTAATCTCCTGTCTCATTTATAGCCTCTGTAAACCCAATGGAGGGTCAGCTATGATTGGGTTCCGACTCAATGGCACCTAACAACATCTTTCATTGCCACTTTATTGCATCAAGAGTCACACTTGACCACAGATATATAGATATAGCTATATATAGATATACAGATACAACCTCATATATATGATGATATTTCTTTGTTTTTGCTTATTTCTAGTATTGTACTTAACATATGGCACAGTAATTTGTAAGAAAAAGCGTTTACTTTCTTTATATTATCATGAATATCCAGAAAGCAGATACTAGGTTCTATCACCCTCAACCACTTCTATATCCTTAACATCCAATCCAGGGCATGACCCATAATAAGCATTCAATTAAATTTTAGCACAGGAATAGATGGTGTACTTCCCATTCTCACCACTCTACCGTGAGCTTCCAAAGGCAGAATCTATAGCTTCTATAAGGTGCGTCTGATACAGGCTATGGTCTTTGCTATCACTTATTATGCATCAGAGAGTTGGACAATGACTAAGGAGGATAGAAGGAGAATTGATGCCTTTGAGCTGTGGGCTGGAGAAGAGTATTGAGTGTACCACGGACTGCTAAGAAAACAGATTCGTCCTGGAAAGGGTTAAACTGGGTGGCTCCTTGGAGGCAAGGATTCTGAGGCTCTGTCTAACATACTTTGGGCATGTTGTAAGGAGGGACCAGTCCTTGGAGAGGGACATCATGTTTGGGAGGGTGGGGGGACAGTGCAGGAGGGTAAGGCCCTCTAGGAGGTGGATTGATTCAGTGACTGGGGTAATCGGGATGGGTGTGTCAGAGACAGTGCGATTGGCAGAAGACAGAGCAGAGTTTAGGGCTGTTGTACATAGGGTCGCTATGAGTTGCAAGCAACTCGACAGCACATAACAACAACAACACACTCAGGGAGTATTTGTTGAATTGGAGACAGCTGAAATGCATTAATGCCTTAAAAGACACATAAAATCATGGTGCTTGCTTTATGTATTAACAATCATTTATATGAGACAAGCAATCACTATTTGAGGAGTCCTGGTGGTACGGTGGTTAAATGCTCAGATTCTAAATGAAAGGTTGGAAACCCATCAGAGGAAGATGCGATAAGCTTTCAAGCCTTAGAAACCATATAGGGCAGTTCTACTCTGTCCTATTGAGTTATTTTGAATCAGAATTGCCATGATGGCCATGAGTCAGTTTACAATTTGCTAAAGGAAAAAAATGCAGATTATAGCAAAGGCTACAATATAATGGAAAGAGCACTGGATAGAAGTTATCAGGCTTATTACTGTGTAATCTACAAACCACTATCTGGAAAAGCCTTAGTGTCTTCCTCTATTAAAAAGGGGTTGTTCATATTCTAGATACTAGGTCATCTGCAATTCCTTTCAGCTCTAGCATGCTATGATCCTTAGGAAAAAATCTTATTATAAAAATTATAGACTCTAATTGTAAAAAAAGTTGGACATGTTCTTCTTAATCATTTAGGTAAAGAAAAATCCCCACTCTCCATCTTCTTAACATATTTCCAAAAGATATCCACTCTCAAAAATTGTTTGTGTATACTTAAAGACATTTTTCATGCATAAACAAGTACAGTGTCAACATATTTTAGTTCTATATTCTCATGAAGCCTTGGCAAAGTGAAAGAAAAATATACTTTCATAGAAAAAAGTTAAAATATTCAGGTAAATAGCAAAAACAGAAAACCAACCACAGGTGAAAATTAAGTATTTGAAATTTTACATAATACTCCTTGCTCCTGTTTGTGCAATGTAATGTGAGTAAAGGCATATTACAAAACATACATTAATGTTTTATTGTGGCTTTGTTCGCAATAGCAAAGAGCTGGAAACAACCCAAGTGCCCATCAACAAACGAATGGATAGAGCAGCTAAGGTATATTCACACAACAGAATACTATGCAGCATTGAAAAACAAGGAACTCATGAAATATTATGCAAAATGGATGACCCTGGAGGACATTCTGCTGAGTGAAATACCTCAGTCACAAAAGAACAAATATTGCATAGGGTCACTGTTGTAAAATGGGGTTGAGGAAAGACAGAGAAGGAGGGGAGGAATAATGTGCACTGCATTGGAACAGATGAGGGATAGAACTGTTTAAAATGGATATATGATTGGGTATTATTGTCATGACAGGAGTCCAGAATGAATGCTGCACAGTAGAGTGGACTTGGGGGGTGGGGCACTGCATAACAATGAGTTTTTCTTTTACTTTTCAAGGAGAAGAGTGAATTGGAGGAAGGGGAGGGGCAGGGAGAAAAGTACAACAATTAATGATTGGAAACCCTAAGTCACTGTAAACTTTCATTAAAAGTAATTAAAAATATGTATTAAAAAAAAGCAAGCTCAAAAGAAAGAAAGAAAGGAAGGAATGAATAGGAAAGGAGAAAAAGAAATAGGAAACACAGGGAGGGATGGGGGAAATGCCATTACATTGTGGAGATTAAAATCACTGTCATGAAATAAAATGTATGAATTTTTGAAAAGCAAACCAATTTGTTCTCTAGAACTTTTCACCCAAATACCAATAAAAAATTTAAAAAAACCCCACCCAAACAAAAAACCAAAAAAACCCACACACACATGAAGTGGGAAGTTTCTCCATGGGAAAACTATGAAAGTCATGGGAATTGTGAGGAAAGGAGACTCATTCATTTATGGTACAACCACAGAATTATGTGAAAGGGGGGAGGATCCAAATTCTGAAATACACTAGGAACTTAAAGACTGAGTCAAATGTAGCCCCCCAAAAAATGCAGATTAGCATTATGCCCTTGACTTTCTTGACATCACTCTTTGAAGATCTAAGCCTCACTATCTACAAACTATGAAACCAAAGCTGCAATAATTATATTTCTAACCAATTCAAATAGCAGGGAAAATATTACAGGGGAACAGTCATAAGGAAAGCGTAAAAACAATATGATTCCATTGGGAAAAGAAACTAATGTCCCTTTCATTTTGAGAGCTGAGAGAATTTAAACACTGCTAGCAATGTGTTAAGTCATGTCTCTGGTTTTAACCTTACTAGGTAAAACTAAACCACTGTTGTAAAGAATGCATAAAGTAACTTAGGAAAGCAGTATGGGTAAATTTCCCGTACTGCCAAGTTAGCACTTTATTGAAATAAACCCACTTTTTAAAGAATAGTAAAGATACAATTTAATAACAAACAAATCATAGGTATAACAATATTCAACTATAAAATACCCAGTGACAGTCACACCATTTTAAAAAAAGTTAATTTGATGAATAAAAACTAAAACTACAATCTAGAATTTATCTGGAGGATGAAGAAATGAAAATTTTTCTTTTATTCCCCAATCAAATTTTGGCAAAATGATAGTGTAAAGTTTGCCAGTAGCTTGAAATTAATCCACTCTAAAAACCAAGCTGTAATAGCAGGAATCAATCTGTAATATCCCAGTAAAAGATGAGTGAATTATAAAATTAAATTTTATCAATTCTACCCTATTTTCAAATATTAAAAAACAGAATTAAGGAACTAGAATCATTCTGGTTTCCTGGACCCTTTGTAAGGAGGAACAGCACTTCCTGACACCGGAAAAACGTTAAGTGTCAATTTCACAAGTCAATAGCTAAAGCTATAGTCTTCAAACTTGAGTATATTTTTAAGAGTCTTTCAGATTCTTGAGGGAAAATTCCATCATCAGAAAAATCTGTTTTAGTTAAAATATAGCATAGAACTAAATATATGGAACAGGACAGCAGTTTTCAAACTCTTCTACTCAAAACTTGAAAAATGTTTGTTATTTCTCTTCCATCACCTTTCCCAGGAAATCAAGTGAAAAACTCCAATCCAGCTGATACAAATTGGTTTAGGAACTAGGCGTCTCCAGCCAGCAATGTTAAATCAGAGGTAGCTTTCGGTGCAACTTAGTTCTACAAATACCCAGTGCTTTCTATCGCACCTGAAATTCAAAGAACAGAAATTACAATGGCCACCAAACCCAAAAATCTCTTTAAAGCTCCATCTGGAATGATATTACACCCAAGTCCATCAACCATCGTCTTAAATTATGTTGACTCCTAGCAACTCACTGAACAAAAAATCTGAACCTCACCCTATCACACACCATCCTCATGATCACCCTGGGTAAGCTTAATTCAGCCACTGTCTCTGTGCAATATAAAGACTGTGTGTGGACACAATCTCTTCATGAAGTCTTTAACGCAAAGTCATGGAGATAAAATAACAACTATTTCAAAATTTTAGGCAGTACATCTTCAATCCACTGAATTGTGCAATTTAGTATGCCATGTGCTGAAAGTGAATACATTCTTTAATAAACATACTTAACCAAAATATCCATTTCCATTCTAGAGGAGGAAGTAAACTATTTCCTTTCCTTCTTACCATACACCTTTCCACAACTACTACAGACACACACGATGGTACTACCATTATTTCAAAGGGTGTCTAAGCATTTAAACAAAAAGTGCCTCGGAGTCAGGTGGATCTTGTGTAATGGGGAAGTGATCTCCCAGTAGATGACTATCTCAGATAACTGGGCCAGTTATGAAAGTATCCTGTCATCTCTATTTCTACTTACCCTCGGTAACATCCTGGGGGTTGGAAGTTCTGTCACTGGCTGGATCCAGGGCAACAGTTGCCAGTGAGGTGGTGGCGCCTGACATCTCACTCATGGGTTCACTGCGGCTTGTTTCAGGCACACTCTCCCGGGAGCTAAATCTTACTCGGGAACTAGACCGAGAACTGAGGTCCGGGCTGGTATCTGACAAACCTGGAATGTCATCAATCTTTGTTGGTGTCACCATGAACCGAACTGAAGCCATCTTGGTGGTGGTTTCTGGAGGATGCATTTTTTTTTTTCCTTTCAAGGACAAAGTAAAGAAAACCACCACCCCCTCCAATTCTTTTTACTTTGCTAGTTACTTTTGACTGTAGAAATAGAAGCTAACTTAAACTTATTTTTTTTAAAAAACTTCAATTCCCTTGATTCACACAAGACAAACTCAAGATAACAATATTTTTACTAAGTAAAACCCTAGAAAGTACACCACCAAAAACTAGGGTTGAAAAAAATGCTTTGAGGGGGGTAAAAAGCCCAAAACTGAAATGATGCCAATTCTCGATAACGTCGTTCCTTCGAATGCAGAGCAACCTAGCTATTAGCCCTGGTCTAGAGCCCAGGGCTCAGTGACATGATCAGCAGGTGTAGCCTCCCTGCCTCCAAGGCCCAGGTTCCAGCGAGGTAGTTAGTCCTTGATCCAGTGCGTGGCCCACGCGTCTAGCAGAGGAAAGTGCTTGCAGGCCCACTTTTAACAGGCGAATAAAGCACAGGTGAGATTGCAAAAAGGTGGGGACCCAGCCACCTGTTGGGTATCAGGTGAATACCTCACAGGTCTGACTGGGAGGAGGTGTGTGCAGAGCCACCCGATGTCTCTGAGGTCGATAATCCACTTGTGTCTGATGGGAAGAGTGCGCATGCATAACGGGAGAATATCCCCACACGACTGGATGGAGAATGAAGAGTATGGTGAGCAGAGGAGGGTGCAGGGGCAGAGCCGCTTCCTGCCGCTGAGAGGTCTGCGGGGGTGGCTTAACCCTTCTCCTGGCAGCAGAGTCCCTGAGATCTGGGAGAAAAATGCTAACGGATCTAGACACCTCGAACTGCAGCTCCGGGTCGTGGCAGGTCGCTGTTAGTCCATCAAACCCACGGTCTGTTTCACGGGAAGAGCCAGCCAGGTCTTTTACCAGGAGACGCTTTCTTCCCCTCCGAGGCCCTGGTCCAGGTCAGCCCCTCGCCGTCCTTCCTTTAGTCCTAGCAGAAAAGGAAACGGCCACATAGGCTGCCCAGAGCTGAGGAGGCGACGGCGGGGCGAAGGGAGGAGGAGGTCGCAGGTGCCGGATACCAGCGCCAGCTGATGCGGGTGCGCGCGCAGCTGTTGTTTACTAGCCGGTAACTGTTTCGGAGCCGCGATGAGCGCAGCAAGGCTCCGGCCGCCTAGGAGGGCGCCCCATCCCCGATTAGACGCCGGACCGGACAGGCCGTTACGTGACCTCACCGCCCCCAGCCCCTGGCCCGGCGGGCACTACCCGCGCCGCCGCAGCCCCTCCCCACTCGTTCCTCATTCGAGGTTAACCGTCCGAAGAGAAGCTTGGGGGAGCGGCCAGAGGGCGGAACTGTCCCGCGCGCACCCGGGAACCCCGCCCAGCCTCTGCAGCCCGCGAATTGACAGAGAGCTGCGCGCATGCGTACAACGGAGGCCGCAACACGCACGGTGGGCGGCGAGGGCGGGGTGGAGCCGAATACGAGGGGCCCAGGGCTCGGCGGGAACTGTAGTCTGTCATGTGTGGGGTGTGGGGTTCGTTTGGGATTTTTTTTAATTGAAATATTTTATCTGAAAGAACACAAAATTGCTTTTACCATGTGAGTGAAATACCAAATCTACTGCCTTCTAATAAAGTCAATAATGAGTTTTGTAATACTAAGATCATCAAAGTCTTCGGTGAAAGACAGTATCAAGTGAGATTCCCTAAGCATTTGTCGTCAGTCCACTATAAAACAATATTCACCTTAAAAACCAAAACTCCAGAAGTGGTGTTGTTAAACCGAGAACAGACAAGAAAGTACGAGGAGCTTTCTGGCTGTGCTCCACAAAAGGGATAAAAAGTAAAACTGACTTTATATTACAGGTCTACATAAGAAATGATTCCTGCCACTCCTTTCAGTGTGTATGTTTAATTTGTTATACCCATAACAATGTTCTGCTTCAATAGGATAAACACCTTGGAAAAATGGACTGAAAGGATGTAATAATTCTCAAATTTTATGCTTCCTTTTCCCACTTCTCTGTTTCTTGGCATATTTAAGTGTAAGCAAGAAAATCTTTTCAGTAAATTGCACGCTTGGAAGTCTGGAAAGATCTTGAACTCTGGCAAGTTACATATATCCCATGTTGCTTTCGGTTTCCCATCTCTTTGCTTCAAATCCCGATGCAAGTTTCTTTTTTTCGAACATCTTGTGAATTTTCAGCACCCTTTTTGGCTTTTACAAAGTTGTGCTAGGCAGGGGAGCTCTGGTTGGCATAGTGGCAAGAAGCTGCAGTGAAATCACTCCTAGGGTAGTGATTTGAATCCGCCAGATGCTCTGCTGGAGAAGGAGGGACTATCTCCGATCTGATTTGACGGTACACACACAAAAAGAAATAATAAATTTTTTAAAAAGAAACAAGCACAAAAAAACCAACAAAACAAACAACAACCCCAAACAAAACAAAGAAAGCAACCAACAGAGTTGTGGTAGGCAATAAATACAGCTTTGGCAATTTTCACACCAAGCTCTAGAGTAGAGAGCTGGTTGCTGAGCTCCTCAGCCTTCTCAACAGTCCTCTCATCCACTCATTTAGCCTGGTCTATTTTCAAGACTCGTTAACTTTCTTCTTTTTCACAAGGGTTCAAGTTGATCATTGACATACTGAGTAAGCTCCTCCTACTGTGTTTCATTTGGGAACTATTCACTATGAGTTGCTGCTTCATTCAATTTACCTTTCCTGGAACATCTTCCTTTTCTCCTCCTGAATCCTGATGTTTTCTGTTCCGAATGTTTTTTCTGAAATCCTTGAAATTTATTCCACATGTGTAAGGAAATTCCCGAAGGGCATTCTTGACAGGTGGTATTTACATTTACCTGTTTTTGGTCCATTTGTTAGGATTGGAGGTTTCTGTTTTTTCTGGCCACTTGATCTTTAGCATTTTGTGAGTGAAGTGCAGAGTTTTCTAATGTGGCTTCATCCTCAGAATTCAACTCAACATCACCACTTTCATTTAGGCCAGGAGGCAGTAGTCCATGCTACATCTTCTGGACCAGGAATCAGTGGCCTAGCAGCCACTTTGGAATCCTGCCCTCTTTCATATCTTGTAGTAGGTCACTCTGAGGGTACTGCAGGGCAGATAATTTAAGAGCTCTAACTCTTTGAAATTAACAATTTCTTGTCATCCCACCAACTCCATGAGCTTTGGTGTCCAGATGGTGAGGGCTACACTGGTTTCTCTGCAGGAGAAAGATGAGCAGTCTCCTGTGTGATTTACAGCCTGGGAAAACTCGCTGGAGGGTCAACCATGAGTCTTGAGTCGCTTCTGACTCTGCGTTAGTGAAGTTTCAAATCCAATTCTATATACAAAGGTATGATCCTCCTAAGACTTTCATGTAAGGGAGTTCTGATGGCCTAGTGGCAAGAAGCTGCATTGCAATCTTGAAGGTGTGTGGTTCAAATCCACCAGATGCTCTGATGGAGAAGGAAGGTCAATCTCCTGCTGTGCCCATCCAATTTGATGGTACACAAGTTAAACAAAATTTCTTTTTCTATGTGGAGTTCTCAAGTAGCATAACCTTGTAGTTGTACATTTTCTATTTGCTCATGTTTTAAAAACCTGGTCATTTAGAATAATTTGACAATTTTCAATTTGGAGAAGACATTTGAGATATTGCATATTATCACTGGAATATTTTTCCTATTGTTTGTTTAATGCATAAATTATAGTATTCAATATATCAACTCATCAATGTTCTGTTTGAAAGTGATTTACTATACCTTTGCTCAAGAAATTACACAATTTGGGCCCAACAATTACTTTTAGCTTTATTTGGGTTCTTGGTTATCTTAAGTAGAATTTCTAGCAGCATCTTTAATAATGCATCCAAAAAAATACTTAAATGCTGATGTAGTCAAAGACTGTAGAGTTCACCACAAGATAAAGGTAAATAATCCAATAGAAAAATGGGCAAAGGATATGAAGAGACACTAAACCAAAGACGACATTCAGATGGCTAACAAGCACATGAAGAATTGCTCAAAATCCCTAGCTATAAGAGAGATGCAAATTAAAACAACTATGAAATATCATCTCACCCCAGACAGAATAGCAAAATTTAACAAAACGGCAAGTAACAAATGTTGGCAAAGTTGTGGAGAAATTGGAACCCTTATTCACTGTTGGTGGGAGTGTAAAATGGTGCAACCACTGTGCAAGGCAGTATGGCGATTTCTTTAAAAGTTGCAAATAGAGATACCATTTGACCCAGCAATTCCACTACTGGGAATATATTCCCAAGAGACCATAATTGACATCTAGCAGTGTGGTATAGCACTGGTCTGTGTGTTGCTGTACAGAGGTAATTCGTGGTTGCTGTGATGCTGAAGCCTGTGACAGTGATGTGCCAATCGTGGTAATGGGCACCCATGGTGGACAGTGTTGGCTGGAGCTTCCCGACTAAATCAATCCTGGAAGCAGGA